TTGAAACAAAATTTTGTCTCTCTTGAGACAGTTTCTCTTGAAATAAATTTTGTCTCTCTTGAGACAGTTTCCCTTGAAACAAAATATTTGAATATGTTTTCTTTGAAACAAATTTTGTCTCCCTTGAGACAGTTTCTTTTGGAACTAAGTTTTGTCTCTCTTGAGACAGTTTCTCTTGAAACAAATTTCGTCTATCTTGAGACAGTTTCCCTTGAAACAAAATCTTTGAATTTATTTCCCCTAAAACAAATTTTGTCTCCCTTGAGACAGTTACTCTTGAAACACAAAATCTTCAAATTTATTTCCCTTAAAACATAATTTTGTTTCCCTTGAGACCGTTTCTCATGAAACAACATATATCTTTGAGATCATTTCCCTTGAAACGAATTCTATCTCTTTCAAGACAACTTCTCTTAAAGCATCATCGGAACCGTTACACTCAGCTCAGGCACATACTTGAGATGGTCGAGAAGCATTTCTCAAATCAAAAATATAATGTGCACATCAGATTTGAACATTTGAAGAATTCAAGATCAGGGATCAAAATTTGAAGATTCAAGAATCAAGTTTCCAGACAGGCAACTGGAGATCGAGATTTCTCTCCAGAGCCCCAAGATAACATATGTTGCATATGCATTTTAGGCACACCTAAGAGCATTGCATCCATAGCATCACATATATGCATAACTTTTTCAGGTTTTAGCTAGAGTCAATTTCAACTTCGCGGCGAAGGATATTGAACTCAAAGCGACACAATTTGCTCGAGAGTGGATTTCAACTTCACGACGAAGGATATCTAGCTCGAAGCCAAACTTCACAATAAAGGGGTCTCCACGGTTTCAACTTCACGGCGAAGAAAATTGTGTCCACCCACAACATACAATACTTGGATTTCAACTTCACGACGAAGGATATTCAAGTCAAGGCTCAACTTCACAACGAAGGGGCCATCCGCGATTTCAACTCCACGACGGAGGATATCGTGGCACTCGAGACAACGCAAGTTCAACTTCACGACGAAGGGACCGCTGCTTGTCAACAACAACTTCTCAATTTCAGAGCCAATTTCAACTTCACAACGAAGGATATTGGACTTCAGACAACGCAAGTTCAACTTCACGACAAAGGGACCGCTGCTTGTCAACAACAACTTCCCAATCGCAGAGCCAATTTCAACTTCACAACGAAGGATATTGGACTCCAGACAATGCAAGTTCAACTTCACGACGAAGGGACCGCTGCTTGTCAACAACAACTTCCCAATCTCAGAGCCAATTTCAACTTCACAACGAAGGATATTGGACTCCAGACAACGCAAGTTCAACTTCACGACGAAGGGACCGCTGCTTGTCAACAAAATTTCATTCAGATTCAATTTCAACTTCACGAAGGAGGATATTGGACTCTGAACAATGCTACTTACTTGGATTTCAACTTCACGACGAAGGATATCCAATTTCAGGCTCAACATCACGACGAAGGGAATCTTGCACACAAGCATCATCCATCTTTAGATTGGATTTCAACTTCACGGCGAAGGATATCCAACTCAAAAAGGGAGTATATGTCAACAAAGACCTTCGAGTTCGACTACGCTCAGCTCCAAGGCACATCATTTACAGCATAACTCAATGCTAGAAGGGTTATCTGCCATCAAAATTGTCGAGTTCGATTCCATTCAGCTCGATGACACATCAATCGCACTACTTTCTGGTTGCAGTCGATGTTTTCAAGTCGAGAAGAGGACCCGGGTTAACCGTGCCTTAGTGACAAGCAACCATTTTCAAACAAAAGCTATATGTCAATGAAGATTTCTGAGTTCGATTCCGATCCAAGGTCTTTAAACCGAGAAGAAGACCGAAGGGCAACGAGAAGCCACGTTCTGATTCAAATTCCGAACTACAGCTTCAATTTCATATCATTCCAAGATGAACTCGACTTCACGACGGAGGAGTCATCCGTAACTCAATTCGACAGGGAGTTATTGAAACATCAGAGTCAATTTTCAACTCCACCGAACGAAATGTGTGTCTTTTAATCTTTGCCCTATCCCCGTTACACGACTATGGGCAAAGAGGGGCAGCTGTCAACACACCTTTTCGTCCTACTAGAATTCAAACTCCTAAAGATAGGATAGAATTTTGCTAGGATTCAAAAAATAGGATAGAGTTCTACTAGATTTAAATTCCTAAAGATAGGATCCACAAGCACTATAAATAGCCATTGTAACTCACCATTGTAACAGACGATTTATACACAAAACATAGAGAAAAGCACGGGAAGATACAAAGGCAAAGCTATTGTAAAGGATTCGAAAAGGAAATAAAAGGTAGCATTTTCTTTTTTCTTTCTTTTGCATGTGCACGTTATTTTTCTTGAGATTTGGTTCGAATAACCCAAAACGTGGGTTGCGCCGATGACCAAAATGGGTGGGGTTTCGAAGTTTCGAACCTAGATCTACCCCGAGGCTTATTTTTAAAAACCGGTTTGATTTTCGGTTAAAGGAGGGAAAGATCATTTTAAAAATCTATATTAGTCCCTTTATTTATTATATGGATATTTTATTCATTTATTTTTATTATTCATGTTATTATTATTATATGTATATATATATATTAAATTATTTTCATTTGATTTTTTACTATATTTTATTATTATTATTATATATATATTTCTTTAATATTTTACTTATAAGTCTAATATTACTATATATATATATATTAAATTATCTTTATCTAGTCGTATATATTTTTTATACTTTTAATAGTTTATTTATATACATATTATTAAATATATATTCTTAATTATTTTTATTTGATTATTTCTTTATTTATGTAATATATCTTATAACTTTATATATTTATATTATTTTATTATTATTTTTGTTTTTTTTATTCATTATTATTATATTATTATTTTTTTTAAAAACCTTGTGTCTTTATCATTATTATTATTAAACATTATATTATATACTACTAACCTAGAGGGCCCATTTTTTTGTCTTATTTCTTACTAGAGCCCCCCATTTTCGGTGAATTGGGAGAGTAGCTTTTCTATTTTTAAGTATTTGGTGTACATATATAGCTTATTTATTTTATTAATACTTTGATATATATATTTATATTTTTTCCTTTTTTCAAATATTACTATATATAATTATTACTTTACTATTTTTTTCTTATCTTACTTACTTATTTTATTTATTTTATTTTTCCCTTGTATCTTATTTGTTTTCTTTACCTTGTTTATCTAACACATTTCTCGATTTTTTTTTCAAATCAATCAAGGGTAAGTAATTAGGATCGAAACTTTACCTTTTAATTTAACTTGTTATTTTTCTTAATTAAGACAACTGGAAATTACGTAGTACCGAAAGGGCGGTTCAAGGGTGCTAATCCTTCCTTGACCGTAACCGACTCCCGAACCCGACATATTTCTGGTAAGACGCAGATCAGGTAAGAAATATGGTATCCGATCAACCCATTTATTTTTAAATAAATGATCGGTGGCGACTCCAATCCACATTTTTCAAGTCGAAGCCCAATTCCGGGGCCCAACCGAAAGACGGTTGCGACAAACATAAAAACCGAGTGATTTTAATAAAACATTTTTTTATCAAAATACCAAGTTTTGGGATATACGAAAATCCAGAAATCAAGTTCGGGAGTTGGTTACACGTGGGGAAGGATTAGCACCCGAACAAATGCCCAAAAATTAGTACCTAGTTGATTACTCTATATTTAGAATTGAAAATTTTGAGTTCAAAATTTATTTAATTTTAAAAAAATCATTACAAATGCAAAGTTGGAAAGGATATTCATTTATTAATATTAATAGTATTCGCCTCTAGCATGGGTGGATACGAATATATCTAATTGCTACCTCAAATAAACTACAGTATGAGGTTAAAACTACTTAAAGATCACCAACAAATCGCAAATCAGAACCAAGCATCATGAGATAATTATTTGCGATCGCAGGTTGCATATCCAAATCCAATTTGAGGATCCAAAACAGGGAATATCAATGAGATAACAAATGAGTGTTATCTTAATCAGTAGTGACGATGTTAAATCTAATTCTAAAAAAATAAAAAAAAATATGTCAAAAAACAGAAAAAATATTATGAAAGCTGATAAATTTATATTATAAAGATATAATTATTCTAAAAATTTAATATATAAAATAAAAAGAAAATATTAACGGCGGCTATTACGACGGAGGCTGCATTCCACTGAAAGGGGGAAAATGGACAAGACAGAAAAAAGAAAGCCAACAAATTGAATACGTTTCTTTTTTTCTTTTTTCTTTTTTAGAAAAAATGACATACGACTTATCCATCAATCACATATATATTCACTATGTTAGTAGGTCTTATTCTCAAAATAGAAATAAAATACTGAAAATTTAAAAGCAGCATTAGCTTCAACAAACTCCGTTTGTATTTTCTCTGAACTTACTATTTTTAGATCCTTCAAGTATCCAGCTTCCTTCCAATGCATCATCCACAACCAGAAGCTTTTCATTATTGTTATTATTAGTTATGGGCAAACGATCACAAGCATGTCAGTGAACCATATATGATATATAAAAGATTTATCATAATAATTTATACTTTTATCTTTTATTTTTAATTAATAAAAAATAATTTTATATCTATATTTTAATTCTTTTAAAATCAATACATATTGATGTAGTATTGCAATAATTAATCATACTGTAATACATTGTATATATTTTTTATTATTTTAATGGGTTAATATCTTATTGACAGATTGATCGGATGTTAAGATGCCAAGTCAACATAAATATAATTTAAAAATCATTTTTAACTTTATATATCTTATTGTCATGTATTTTAAATATTATTTAAATATAATTTAATATCTTGGCCCCATGATGTTCCGTCACTGCGTGTAAACCTTATCTTGAAGCCTGTCCGAATTCCGTTAAAATAACAGATAATCTCCAAACTTTACAGTTAACACCACTCTCCTTGCAGGTTATAAAAAGCAGCCGATTTTCATACAAGAATAAACGCATCCGTTAATACAAAAAAAAATAAAAATAAAACGTTATACTATCGAAAGATCCCCAGAATCTGAAGCAGAGACACAAACACAATGGTTGACAGCAACATTAATGATGGCTTCCGGTACCTAAATGTGAAACCAGGTACAGGAGGGCTTTGGAACCTGTTGAAGTACTCGCGGTGGGGCTCAAACCATGGTGCGGAGACCGATCACCGGTTTGTCATATTGGTGTCTATCGTTGTAATGGAACTCCTCCGTTTGTTCCGGAAGCCTATGGAGTTCACTGGTTATGTGGTCGAATTCTTTCTCAACCTTATATCCCAAAATGGATCTCTATGTGGCTTACTCTCAAACATTCTCCATGGTAAATTTAACTTGCTCAACTTCAAATACAACCATAACGATATCTATCTATCTATCTAATAATATATAATATCGGTGTGTTTGTGCAGGAAAAGCAGTAATACCAAAGAGGGGAACTGATACTTTTATTAGCAGTGTTGGACAACTAGATTCGCGAGTGGATCTCTATAAAGCCAAGAAGCTAGTTGATGATTTGCATAAAGCTGGTTCATCTACTGCAGGAATTGCAAAACTTGAATCCAGTGTTCGAGAAACAATGGATCTATGCATGATGGCATCAAAACTGGCATATGAAAATGCTCAAGTTGTTGAAAACGTCGTCGTTCGTCATTGGAAGGCAAGCTTTACTCGTTCTCTCATTCCCTTTTATCTCTTCATTTGCCGGAATCTGGCATGTTTGGATTATTCTTGTAATCTGGCATATGTTTGCAGATGCACTTTATCGGCTTCTATAACTGCTGGAACGGTAAGATCAGCTCCATTCTCAATGTAGATTTTGCCAATTCTCAAATACCATAAATTCTTTTAGTTCTTGCATCACTTAAGAATGCATATATCCCTCGCTTTCAATGTCCTTTTTTCTTTTAATTATGTCAATTGATTCCTTCTATGGTTGCCAACCATTTCATAGATTACCAAAAGGAGAAATCTACTCAAGTTTTTCTTACATGTGACAAGCCTAAGGACGCATCTTTAATATTGATCAGCTTTCGGGGCACCGAACCTTTCGATGCCGACAATTGGAGCACCGATGTCGATTACTCTTGGTACGATTGTCAAAACGTAGGGAAAATTCATATGGGATTTCTTGAGGCATTAGGATTAGGCAACAGAGAAGATATTTCAACCTTTTATTATCATCTTCAGACACAGGTCACATATCACACCTATTCCGAAGCCGCAGAACAGTCCTCTAGCATTGGGAAAACCGGCATCCGATTGTCAGAAATGGCAGATATGAGTGCATACTATCTGGTGAGAGAAAAGCTGAGGAGCTTGCTTGTAGAGCACGAGAATGCAAAGTTTGTAGTCACTGGACATAGTTTAGGAGGGGCTTTGGCTATAATGTTCCCGATTGTGCTTGCAATACATGGGGAGATGGTGCTACTAGAGAAGTTGTTGAGAGTGTATACATTCGGACAGCCGAGGGTTGGGGACCGAAAGCTCAAGAAGTTCATGGAACCTCATTTGGATCAACCGGTCCCCAAGTACTTTAGAGTGGTTTACTGCAACGATGTGGTGCCTAGGTTGCCTTACGATGATAAAACCTTTTTGTATAAGCATTTTGGGACCTGCCTTTACTACAACAGTTTTTACATTGAACAGGTATCTACTTTTACATTGCTCTAATTTTGTGTAATCAATGAGTTTGAAACTATAACCACTGAATTTAACACGAAAATCCATAGTATACCAAGCCAAATGTATAGTATAAAATGTTCTGTTCTTATCATTATTGTGACGGTTTACTTGCTTTTTTGTTTAAAGACGGTGGATGAGGAGCCAAATAAAAACTACTTGGAGATAAGCGAACTGATCCCTGAATATGTGAATGCGTTTTGGGAGTTAATAAGAGGTTTGGCGGGGGGTTACATATATGGACCGGAGTACAAGGAAGGATGGTTCTCAATTCTATTTAGGGTTCTGGGATTGGCATTGCCCGGCGTGGCCGCTCATTCCCCTACTGATTATATCAATTCTGTTCGACTCGGGCTTTCAACTACCTGAAGGTTACACTCAATCCTTATGTTTGGATTGGATGTATGTTTAATATGTACATTGAAAATAAAGACCCACCCAACTCCACTTCTGAGGCCAAAGCATTTGGTTTGATGTTGCTATGTTGTCCACTGATTTGCTTATTCTCTGAAGTCGGTTTCTATATTCATATATAATTAAGTTTCGGTTGATTTCGTTTCTGATACAGTTTATTCCAGTTTGGGTTTAGGATTAGGATTAGGATTTTAGTCCACGGAACAACTTAGGTTTGGCCTAGTCTGCTGGGATTAGAAATAAATTATTTAAAATTCTTATTTTAAATAAATTAATTCTAAAACAATAATATATTACTAGAAAATTGTATTTTTTAATTGGACCTTGGTCCAGTTTAGTTCAACTCATGAATATCTCTAAATCAGTCCGAGATTGTTGGGCTAAAACCCAAACTTGGGATATCTTAACATAAGGGACAAAGCCTACGTAGGGATGACAATGAGTGAGGCGGGATATCCTTTCTTCCATCTCTATATTCACCTAATATTTTTGTATCTACCACTTATCCACCATCTGCAATGGGTAAATATTTTAAATCAACACTGGCCACGCGAGTATATTCTCAAATTCACATCCGCCCAAGTAGAAAATTGTGATCACTGACAAAATGACACATAGCACTTTCTAAAAATACTTTTTTATTTTTTTAAAAAATAAAACTCATTTGCCCTTATTTTGACAAAAACATATAACACATAATTACATCGGCGTAAATAAAATAAGTAGCACTCAACACATACTTACACCGAAAATTAAAAAAAAATTACAAAGTGCAACGTGTCATTTGTCAGTGATCATAGGATTCCACGTCACTTTCCTTGACAGAAGTTAGTGAACTTGTTAATGGCAGAAAACATCATGTATGAAATTAAGAATTTTAAAACATTATGTATGAAACTAAGAATTCGGTATACTTCATATATGAATGGGGTAATTAACCCAATTCATAACGGTCTAAAATTTATACTGTTGATAATTAGTGGGCAGGCGGATACGGGGCGGGTAAAGTCTCAAACCCATCACCTATTCACTACCCACGGCGAACATGACTTTTTACATCCACACTCACTCACCACCCATTAAACTTATACCCATCTCCGCTCCAGTTGAAACTAGTACGGTACAAAATACACAAAATTATACCCACATGCCATCCTAAATGTCTGGCAGGAGCACAAGTGGTCCTTGCAGTTATAAAATTATCGTCTTGTAGTGTGCTCATAATTTGTCCTTTAAGGGAACACCAATCAACCAAACTTGGCCTCCAAATTAGAAATCCCTAACTCGATACAAACCTCTCATGTTAATGGGGTTTAATTAATAAATAATCAAACATGATTTTTCAGTTGTTCGATTTCAAATGAATTTAAATTTTAAATATTACACATCGATAGTATGAATTCAACAATTCAAACAATCATATAATCATGTTCAGTCTAATTTATATGCTTCCCAAGGATTATAATAAAAACTAGCATCATTTCAACTAGTATCACAATTTCAAGTTTAAGGTTTAACTTCAATTACATTCACTAAGATCAAACTCTCGAAACACCACTAAAACAAAACCCAATCGTCCACCTTCTTCTTGCACTTTTTTGGGGCTCTAATTTGTTTTTGAGCTTCAAATCATATATTAACACATTCAAAAGAGAATAATAAAAAAAAACACCAATCAGAACATAACATTTGCATAGATACTTTATTGGAATAAAATGACATGACAAGTAATCATATGATATAAAATGCCTATTTCCTTGACTGCTTTTTACACCTTATTGCCAATCATATATTTTCCTTGAACTTCAATCCATAAATTTGCTTTCATCCTTACAACCAAACCCACCATTTTAATCACATTATATTTATACTTCTAATGCTTATTCCTTCAATATACAATTCTGCTCTTAACCAGAATTTCACTTGTTGATTAAACTAATCAAGACTTTGTGAATCTAAGGCTGCTAATATAACAAACAGGCTCTTAGTTAATTGAAGCAGCAAATTTCAACCTCACCATTTGTTTTCTTTTTCATTTTCTCTATTCTCATCATCTCTTCCCTTTAATTCATTCGAAAGCAAAAAATGATCTGCTTAACATTCACGTTTTATTCACTTCTTTAGAAACTGCATGTATATCTGCCGTTGGACAGTGTAGATTGTGTGACAAACAAATTTATTAAACCAGCAAAGCACAATTAGCTTGATTTTTAATATCAGAAAAAAAATGAGTCATAGAAAGGTTCACTCACAAGGCAGTATACCCTTTTCATGGGAGTACAAGCCAGGGGTCTCCAAGTCGTCAATGTCACCCATTACTATCAGTACAGCTGCCCTATTGATGGAGGATTGTATGCCCTTAACCGAACACCTTTGGCTTCCAACCTCGGCGACTCATCAACCAACAAAGTTCCTTCGCCGCCTCCTTACTCGAAGAGGAGCACTTCCCTGAAAGGCTTGAGGTGGTGGCCGGATGACCCTTTTCTTGCTGCTTATAAAGAGTGCACCAAAAGTGGGGGGAAAACCGGTGGCTCCAAATTATCTGTAAGAATTAAGAAGATTAGGTTTTCATGCAAGAATTCTTGTGATGTTAGAGAGAATAATTTGATGAGGCTATCAAATCTCCCCACACCTCCTAAAAGTAGAATTGGAGCTAGACAGGAGTTTGTTTAACCAGTAGAAGAGAAGAGTACTGGTGAAAGCTAGGTATAATTTCTTTAAGACTCTTTGTTTAACCATTTGGTTTACATGCTTCTCTGCTGTTTACTGACAATCTGGTCTTGCCTAAGAGCTTCCATAAGAATCTTTGTAATACATTTATCCATTAAATTGCAGCCTCATTTTGTTTAAAATTTTACTTATTACCTAATAATACCTTACCTTATACCATCACCCATTTTAAAACTTGGTTTAACCAAGTTTTGGCTCTTAATAACTTGATTGTGAAGAAACAACATGCCATGTAACCAAAAAAAAATGAAGAAGAAACAACATGCCCTACACATAGATATAATTATATGATTATATGATTCATGTCAATTAGGTAGGTACCTAATCCCATTGATGGTTAACCCAACCAACCAGCCTTTTGACTAGAAACGACCCGTGCTTCTTGCTTTTCCATTTTCATATAAAATATTCACATTTTCAGTCAATTAAATGAATACATTTAATTTAATTATTTATTAATATTTGCATTGTATGTAAAAAATAAATAGATCATCATAATATTTAGTACGATTTTTTATTACTTTTTTTATTGCTTGTAAACTTATGTTTTTACATTATAATATAACAGAATTATATGCATATTTTGGTTATTTTAAATAAGACTATTTTTTTTAGCAATTTACTTAATTCGTCATGAATCATGTAGAGATAATTGAACAATCACTGCAACAAAATTATTCAATAGCAACGTTTTTTAGTCCTATAGCGAGGTTTTTAAGAGTCGCAGAAAAGCTTCCCTACACAAAAAAAAAAGTGCAACAAGAAACACTGCTATAACAAGCGCCACAAATATTAGCGGCATTTGTAAATAAAAAACGTTGCAATAGGTTAGGACATTTAGCGGCGTTTTTTTTACAAACATCGCAACAAGTTCGGACATTTAGCAGCGTTTCTTATACAAACACCGCAATATGTTAGGACATTTAGCGACATTTCTTTTTCAAATGCCGCAATGTGTAGTCCTTTAGTGACGTTCTTCATATAAATGTCGATACTCGAGACTGATTTACAAATGTTAATTTGTACTCTTTATTGTCCAAACTTAACATATCTTGTAACAATATCCAATAACAACATTGATACGACTTGAATTAAGTAAAAAGTACTTAACAACATAAATAAATGAAGTTTACTAATATTAAAGAAATGTAGTTCAACATTGTGAAATATAATATAGTTCAACATTCAAGTGAAATGTAATATAGTTTAAACACTAGAATAAACAGAGAATGAACCTACAAAAGCACCTAGGGTGGTGAATTTCGCGCTTGATATTTGCTCCATCATCTTGTTCATAACTTCAAGTTGTTTTTGAAGTTCATCATATTTTGTCTGATATGATGCTTCCCTCTATGCTTCTCTTGCTTTTCTTTTTGCTTCTCTTGCTTCAACTTCGGCTATCATTTGAGCAAATTTTTCATTCACTTCAGTCAACTGCATTTTTAATCGAAAACTTCTGATTGAGAAGATTGGCCCTGTGATGGTATATGCTGAGACAAACTGGATCCAAAATATTTGGATGAGGTAATAAATGATCCCTGACGGCGAACTTGACCATATCTTTCGGGACCAAAAACTTTAACGAGAACTTGATTTTCGATCTCGTCCACGTTAATGGAACCATGCAATGAAGTTGTAGCTTCATACTCCATCTTTTTATCACTCAATTTTTCCTAATAATCAATTAAGAATTTAGAATAAATATAAAAGTTATTTAAAATAAAAATGTTATACTATAAATATGACATAATTCAAATTTTATGTCCAATAAAAGTAACATGATTTCTACAGCTTCAAGAGTCATAGGAGAGCCATGGTTTTTTGTATGTGTCAACTTGAAGAGGTTTATTCGTCCAACTCGATTGTCGGACGTAGTCTCCTAAAATATAGAACATAAATTAGTACTTAAAAAATTAATAAATAATAGGAAAACTGTTCATTATTATGTGAAAAATTATAATTGAAAAAAAATATCTCCTCGTGAGCTACACAGGCTAAGCTTTTCGATCTAGTTGTGTGAGTAAACTTTTGTTGTTGTCTGCAAACAACAGCAAACGAAATGGGTTTCTATGCAAACAACAGCAAACGAAATGGGTTTCTATGCAAACAACAGCAAAAATTAGATATTTAGAACCCGGTCGGTTAAAGTAGTGTACAGTTGCGGCGTTTTTAATGAAAAAGCCACCAAAGTTCGATGCAAACACGACGTTTTCAAAATAAATTCCATTACGTTATATGACTATTGCGACGTTTTATTTACAAACACCCCCAAAGTAAAGGTTGATCATGGCGTTTACCAAAAAATATCGCCTTATATTATTCAGTAGCGACATTTT